CGTTAGCATTGGAGAGGCTAATGACTAGCAAGGATAAGATGGCGTTAGCATTGGAGAGGCTAGCGACTAGCATGAATAAGCTGATATTAGCATTGAAGAGGCTAGTGACTAGCATGGATAAGCTGGCATTAGCTTCGGAAAGGCTAGTGACTAGCATGGATAAGCTTGCGTTAGCATTAGAGATGCTAGGGACTAGCATAGAGAAGCTGTTCAACATGACATCAAGCATAAATATTAAACATAAAACTTATTACTGTGAAGCAGACACGCTTTAGTTGCTACCTGAATTAGCATCTGCATTTGCCCTTGTCTGTTGGTCTATGATGGTGTTTTTTTTTCTATTTAGCTTTCAAGTTGGGGCTTTATAGAGAAAGTTTTCTTTATTCAAAAAGTTTGTGTCTAATAAAGTAGGTGAGCAACCTAGGCATGCTAGTCACTAGCCTCTCCGATGCTAATGCCAGCTTATCCATGCTAGTTGCTAGCCTCTTCAATGCTAACGCCATCTTATCCATGCTAGTCACTAGCCTCTTCAATGCTAATATCAGCTTATTCATGCTAGTCGCTAGCCTCTCCAATGCTAACGCCATCTTATCCATGCTAGTCATTAGCCTCTTCAATACCATTGTCAGCTTATTCATGCTAGTCACTAGCCTCTCCAATGCTAACGTCATCTTATCCATGCTAGTCATTAGCCTCTTCAATACCAATATCAGCTTATTCATGCTAGTCATTAGCCTCTCCAATGCTAACGGACAGCGTAGGGAGTTTGCAGTCCAGTGGGTCACTAGCCTAGGCATGCTAGTCGCTAACCTCTCCAATGCTAACACCATCTTATGTATGATAGTTGTTGGCCCTCATACAGTGTCATAATCAGCCAAAATAAGCTACTTATTTACAAATCKACTCAAGAGGTCAAAAACATCAGAACATATTTCATTTCTTTCCCATTCCCATCTATGTTGCAAAACAAACCTTTCCTYCAAGTTTCTTGTACTTTTTGTGAATGCCTCCCTCTTTTTATGTTCTMTACTCAGACAAAACTATGGATATTTCTGTGCCACTAACTGTTGGAGTATGTAATATAAACTGGAATCCTGCAGGGAATTCAGTTCAACATCTCAACAGTGAAGTAAAATGTTTCCACCCTCTCCTACAGAGTATGTATTCYGCTCTGTCCAGCCTGCTGGATGGGAACCCGTTCTCAGAGAGCGGTCAGCTGCAAGTGCCTGATGGGCTRGGTACCATCCTGGACGTGCTCAAAGAGGCGCTGAAGCTCCTGACCGCCTTCCAGGTGCACCCAGACATCTCGCTACAACTRTGCGCCTACCTGTTCTTCTTCATCAATGCATCGCTCTTCAACTCGCTCATGGAGAGAGGTAAAGTCTCAGCTCAGTCTTTTGACTGTTGCTTTGGCATTTTGTGCTGTATAAATAGTTGGCTGGATTGTTTTTTTTTTTTTTTTTTTGCAATTATTGTTGTAAGAAATGGGCTTATAGTTTAGTGTTGATTATGGAGGAATTTGTGTTTTCTGCAACATTGAACGAAAGAAGCTGAAACTGAACTGTTAAAGTTAAAACAAGCCTAACAGAAGCTAAATAATCTGTATATTTATTCTCCTGCATCATGTACTTTTCTTACTGTTTTATTTGCTTGTTCAGGCTCTGTTGCTGGATTCTACCAGTGGTCCCGCGGTGTGCAGATCCGGGCCAACTTGGACCTGTTGTTGGATTGGATCCAGAGCATTGGTCTGGGCGATCTAGCCACTGAATTCTTCCAGAAGCTGTCTGCTGCTGTCAATCTGCTGGCCACACCTAAAGAAACCCTGCTGCAGGTCAGCAGACATCCGTTCCTCTCTTCCTGTTTGTCTTACCACAGACGGGTGCTGCCTCTGTTCGTGTTTACGTCAGCCTCCGTGTTTTCATTGTCCTAACAGTGGCAGTATGACTAATCTACTTTTCTATGTTTATACATGAGGTGTAAAACCTTGCACTTTGTATAAACTTTACATTTTTTAACCGTGTCAAACACAGAGAAATATTTCTAACTTTATTATTGCTGAGAAATATAACAATTCTGTTTATTAAAAACAGAGAGAATCGTTCTGGTTTMTAGTTAAAGTGTATCTGAGAACGTTATGTTCCTGCAGGAACCAGAGTGAGTTAATGTTTTCAAATGTTCAAATCATGACCTCATGATATGTCAGTAAAGGTGCGTCCATTACCTCAGATTATATGGATGAGTGTGTATCCTGTCCCCTAAACTAATATTTAACTCAAATAGCATTTTTTTTCTTTAAGAGGAAGAATGACATTTTAAAGCTTTGCTGTAAAGTTAATTTGAAACTTCTCATATCCTGCTTTTTTAGTGTTTGTCAGGAATTACACACTACATCACAGAATCAACACATGATGTAAAAGAACAAAGCCAATTTAATCCCTACTTAAGCACAATGCTCTCTTAGTTGTCTTTTCAGATTTTATTTGATTTATTTAACTGATAGAAGCTTAATAAATACTGAGACCAAAAGGAAAAACAAGTCCAAAACTTGTGCAAGAGGTCATGAAGGCTATAAAATGACAGCTTTTGACTGAGTCACGGTTTTTATGGCACCTGAAACGTGATGAAATGATAAGTATTGAATGTTTTTGTTGTGCCGTCTCTGCTGACTGCTTGTGTTTTATTTACCTCCTCTCTTCATGTGCATTCAAGGCTTTTAGATCAAAGCTTGCATGTGAAGACAGTAAGGTTTAGTGTAATGTCTTTAGCTAGTTGTTGTGGGACATAATGCACAGAGGGATTAGTTTAAGTCAGAGATTAGAGAAGTGGTTTAACTAGGTTCAGATGCAAGTTTGGGTGCGCTAGAAGTTATTAGGATTTAAAGTTTTTAGACTTTTATTCCTATTTATTTGTTCTTTTTTGATTTAATAGCTTTTTCAGTTGTTTTTATCGCACCCCCATCATAGGTGAAGCATGGTTTTGCTGGTGTATCTGTTTGTAAGCAATATATTTCAGGACCTAATAGACATATTTGAATAAACGCATTGCATCTCTTCAAGTAATATTACATGTTTAATTTTTAATTGAACTTTTATTAAGCAATATGACATTTCCACTTTCTTTTAGATTAAAAAAAGTGAATACTATAATCAACCAAATCATAAAACTTCAATAACTTCAATTTATTTTATTTATCAACTGAAGTTATTGAAGTTCTATGATTTGGTTGATTATAATATTTTATCAGTTATGTATAGGGCTTATAGAAACACATTACCTTAAGCATCCAATTACATTTTATTTAAAGAGAGAGAGGATAGAGATGTTTGTGAAACCTAAATTTAGATCCAGTTTGAAGGAGTGGTGTTCTTCAATCCAAGGAATAGGATTATGGAATAATCTGGGGATTGATGTTAAAGTGCCTGTGACTTGCCTATCCTTCAAATACAAAAAGTCAAAGAAAGCAACTTCATACTTAATAAAATTGACATAGTACACATGATTTTTACCCGTTTTGTTACATAACCAGCCTATTTTRTTTTAAATTCTGCTCAGCCAAAATGAAACAGGAAGTGACATCAAAGGGGAACGCATTATTAAAATAAACTTGCTGGTTTCTGTTTATTAAAACAAAATTATTTAAACTTTAACTCTTCTTCGTCTCTCTTTGATAGTGACTAAAAATAATCTAAAGAAATGTCAGATTCTCTACAGTCTGTGTTTTTTAGCTTTTGTAACAACGCTTCTCCTTTGACATCACTTCCTGTTTCTTCACATGCAAATATCTCAGCAACCGTTCATCTCAGGGACGTGAAATTTYTTTTGCAACATGTTATCAATGTTATCTTTCCAAAAATGCATTCATGTTCATTACAAAAATTTGATGTCACAGACACTTTAAAAATGCCAGATCAAGTTTTATGTTTAGGAGAATGATAAAAGTTAGTCTGTTGAAAAAAATATAAAGTAGTATAATGTACGAATACAGATTGTCACTCAAGAAGGAGTTAACGTTTTTTTTTTTTTTTTTTTTTTGGTATTGTTTTTGTTATTTGTAAATTACTATTGTTTGAATTCAGATGATTTAATCCGTCGTTGCATCAAGCAGGTCTCGTATCACTGAATAAACTGAGGTAATCGTCTCAGTTTTACACAGAGTTCAACACCTGCTGTTGGTGTGACTCAAAGTTAAAACGCACACAAACACAGCTGCTGATGGGCTCCGTCTCGTCTCCTTGTTGTACAACATGAGGCAGCTAGTTTTATAGAAGTCTGAGATCACTTTGTGGCCACTTCAAACCAGAACACACCCTCAACAGATTTTTCTTTTTCCATCTGTAGTTCTGAGCTTTTTAAAACTATAAACGCTTGCTGGTACGGCTGTAAACTAAACCAAAGGGATGTGCCAATTCTTGTTTTGTGGGGGGAGTAGAATATAAGTGACAAACATTAAATCTTAGACATAACAAACAGAGAACATTTTTAGGTTTCTGTTTATAAGCGGAGCTCAGACATTAGTTTCTGTTGGCCTCAGCGACCCAACAACACTCTGCTGTGGTTTCAGTTGTGGCCCCGGCATGTCTGCCTAAAGTTTTACTTCCTGCTATTCAGCTGGAATCAGCTTTATGATGTTTGTTTCACAGTAATCACATAACTGCTGCCGAGCGATTCACCTGCTTCCTTCGTCATAAAAAGACCAAATATTGTGTTTCTCGTGCGTGTTCAGGCTGCGGTAAGACGGGGATCAGATCTCTCAAAGACATTATCATTAGTGATATGAAATCCAACTCTCAACACGTTTTTAACAAAACAAACAAGAAGAGACGACTGTAAACGCTACTGTTTTCACCAGCTACGTCTGGGAAATGTGTTCCCACGAGGCTTCGCTGCCACATCTGGTTCTTAGGTGGCAGTGAGGGAATCTGTGTATTCATCCCATAAATGTTTTAAATCCTTTGCATGGGAATGAGAGAGGGGCACCGAGTGTTTATGTGAAAACAAGAATATGAGAAAATGCTCTGCCACTTCATCGCTCTCACGTTGGAAACAAAGAGTTCCTTTAAATAAACTCGGTGGAGTTTATGATAGGGTTTGTGTTTCTCAGGGTTCTGTTGTYTTGTTGTGTTTATTCAGGCGTCCTGGGCTTCTCTCAGGACCGAGTTCGCTGCTCTGAAAGCGGCCCAGCTTCACCACATGCTGAGGGAGTACAGCGCCGGTAAGACCTGTCCCCGCGGATGGAGCCCAGCTCCAGAAGAGTCAGAGGACGCTCTCAGGACCGGTGAGTCACACAGACACCCCCCCCCCCCCCCCCCCCCCCCCCTCCCCCCCATCTCCAAATATTTCATTTATCAACAGAATCAGTATCTGAGCAGCCTCTTTTTGTCATTTAAAAGAAAACAGTTAGATTATAACTTATTGGTTATCTGACAGATTTAACAACAGTTTTTATTAGAAGCAAAAACATTTGGATTGTAAGATAAGTTACTGCTTATTGCAACACCTGTTAATGAGTTTGTATGGCTGAAAAATCTGTCATGAWATAAATGTTTCATATRGGTCGATATAGAAAATTCTTAAAAGTCTTATCTTTCCTGGTGCTGTTTAGCTGAAAGGTCCTCGCTTATTTTATCAGAAAGTTGTCAACCATTACCAGTTAATAACCAGTAAAGTTATCCARATAATTGGACATGTTTTCTATTGATATTTACCCCGTGTCAATCACGATATATATTGTTACTGAATTATCGCCCAGCCCTATATGGCTTCTCCATGACTGTTTTATGTTGTTGATTATCAAATCAAGTGATTCTCAGAAGTTGAAACCTTTATTTGTGTTAACATCTGTTATCATATTGGATTAGTAAATTTACTGTCATCAGTTTTCTGTTTTCTGTCACTGAGATCCACTTTCTGAGCAGTTTCTCCTCAGGGCAGCTTTTATTACAAAAAGCTGGAATTACCAAGCTCCTTATTACAGGTGTCAGAAGAACCTGTTACCAGCTTTTCATGTTTCGACTTGAAAACTGGCATGCTTAAAGATTTAAAATAAATAAAAAGTTTATTAACATACTAAATATTAGGGCTGGGTATCCTGGCCAGTTCTCTGAATCGATTCATCACGATTCAATTCGATCTGCTCTTAAATAATGAAAATGGTTCAACTGTGTTGCAAAATACAAATTCACTTTATTTTTTCTTTTCATCATAAACAACAGGTTTTAAGGAGAAACTTGTAAATTAAACAGTTTAATCTTGAAACCAAACTGTCTCGAGTTTCAAAGGTTTTAATTAAAAAGGAATTGTAAGTGACAGTGTTGTTGTTGGAGGAATTCATTTTTAAGAAATGAAGAATAATTTTCTTGATGAATAAGAAGTGATGGAAAAAAGCTGCAGGAGAAGAGGTGGGCTAATATAAGTTTATTTCTGCCCACTCTTTTGAGCATGAAAACTATATATTTGTAATGTTTCGGTTACCTTCTGTTAAAACAAAACAAAAAAAAAGATAAAAATGATACAACTGCAACATTTAATCACTGTGGATTTCATAAAGACATTTCTTAAAGTTTAAAAATAATAATATTGGTAACTAAACTAAATGATTTTGTTAGAATTTCATCTTTCTCACATTTCTACCTGCAGTCAGATGTTTACATCCAGTAGTTTTCCTCCACAGAGTAAATCTTTACAAACAGAAGTCTCCATGGTCTCTGATAGCTTTAGGCTCTGCAGAGTCAGCTGTAATGTTACTGATTCCTTAGTTTCTTTTGTTTTGCTCCAGATAACTTATCAGAAGCTAACATTAGCTCTGAACATCAACCGGAGGTAAACATACGCCAAGCCAAGGGTGACAAAATATAGAAATACACTCAGCTTCATCACACCATGGGGGAAAAATCCATCCCATGCCCTGTGGATCAATTTTAACAAGTTTACCGGTAAATGAAATCGATCCAAGACTGATTACACTTATTTTACCCAGCTTTATTAAATAAAATCAGAGAGCTGAACTCTCTGAACAGAGCTTGAAGTTGGAACTTCAGCTGAAAGTTAGTTTCTGGTTTTTATTAGAAACATCACATTTCAAAAACCAAGCCAACATCTTAAATATAAAACTTCTGGAGGCCGCTTTAATGTTCAACAAAACAAAGAGGAAGACATAAGTTTCAGAGTGAAACTGCTTAATGAAAATAAACTGAGATGATTTCTCTCAGCCTGTCTCCACCAATCAGCTTCATCCTACAGTTCCCTCTTCCAGCAGGACCACTGCCACGAAACTCTCACAGGATTTTAATTTGCTACTTCAGTCGAACAAACTGCTTCCTGCTGGATCAAARGAGAGCTTTTGATCTGATCTTAACTCACTGCCCATAATTAGTTGTTAGTACAGGATTGAGTTTCATTACAAAGCTTAGCTGAATGTCAGTGTGTTTGTGAGGGTAACATCTGGCCCCTTCGTCTCGTTTTCTTTGCAGCGGACATCCTGGAGAGCTTTGATGACCACCCGCCGCTCATCCTGCCCAGCAGCACCTTCCACCTGGAGCTGGGGAAACCTCTGGTGGAGCCGGCTCTRTTTGAACAGCTGGCTCACCTGCAGGAGTTCCTTCGTCAGCTACCRGCCACCCAAACTCAAGCTGAAAGGGATGGAGACGAACAGGTAACAAGTTCTCTGACCCCGACAGCAACCAGAAGCCAGAAGCGGTCAGGAAATGAGACGCTTTGATGGTTCTACATGTGTTATTGATCAACTTCATGTGGTTCAAACTCAGGCTGCTAACACGACAAACACAGACGGTCCAACGGGGAACTCCCCCTGCGCTACACCTTTTAAGGATCCCGCTCATCAGGTGGTCTCTGAGGCCTCGACCTGGTTCAGTCCTGAGGCAGACCCCGACCGTGCCTCCCCTGGAGAACCACCGCAGGTCCGAGGATCTCACGGGGACCTGAGCAGTTGTGAAGCAGTTCTCACCCAGAAGCTGAAAAGCCTGCAGCTGCAGAACGACCTCCCAGGACAGGAGGACCTGAGCTTCCACAAGAGCCTGGCTCTGGACCCGTCGTGTCTGCTCACTCCACCCAACACCCCGCAGGGGATGGAGCTGGCTGAGCTGGAGGCCGGTCTACAGGAGGGCGCCCGGCAGCTGAGGAAAGGTAACGTCACACAAACAGTTTCTGCAAARGATTTGATCCTTTCAGTCAGGATAACAAACACTTCCTGTTAGAAATTAAACACTAAACCCCCTCCACTACTTCAGAACCAAATCTGTCTGTATTTAACTAAACTGTTATTCTGTCATGAACAAAAAAAGCTTTGGGTTTCCACCTCAGAATAAACACAGTAACTCTTGACAGCACTTGTTCTTTAAAGTGGTTTTTAAACTTTTACCAGCAGCTGAAAGATATTAAAGTGAAACCTGATGGCAGCAGATGATAATAAGGATGTTCAGGAAAACACAGGGAGTGAACCACTTTTTTTTTCCTTTTAAATGTTAAACAGAAAGAAAAGAACAATTTATGTAGGTTTATATAAGCAATGAGACTTTTGTTTTAAAACTATGCAAAGCTCTTTTTTTGAAAATGAGTAAAATATGTTTCAGGCTTCCTGCAGATCCTTAAAAAGTCTTAAAAGTCATTGAATCATCAGTCCAAAAATAAGGCCTTAATTAGCCTTAAAATGTCTTAAATTAATCATTCAGAAGGCTTAAAAATGTTAACACATTGTATGATTGCAATTCATCTCAAATATTAAAATAGTTGGTAACATTTTTTTAAATATTCACATGTAGACATTCCCCTTTGTCATCACTTCCTGTTATTTCACATGCAAACTGTCCATCTGAGCAATGTGAAATTTGTTTTTAATATGTTAATAATGNGGTTTATATAAGCAATGAGACTTTTGTTTTAAAACTATGCAAAGCTCTTTTTTTGAAAATGAGTAAAATATGTTTCAGGCTTCCTACAGATCCTTAAAAAGTCTTAAAAGTCATTGAATCATCAGTCCAAAAATAAGGCTTTAATTAGCCTTAAAATGTCTTCAATTAATCGTTCAGAAGGCTTAAAAATGTTAACACATTGTATGATTGTAATTCATCTCAAATATTAAAATAATTGGTAACATTTTTTTAAATATTCACATGTAGACATTCCCCTTTGTCATCACTTCCTGTTATTTCACAGGCAAACTGTCCATCTGAGCAATGTGAAATTTGTTTTTAATATGTTAATAATGTTATTCCAAAAATGCATTAATATTTCTTACAAAAACTTGATATCACAGACACTTTAAGGTTTCATCAACAGCAAAGAATGTGAGTCCTGAAACTCCAAATTTGAGGTCGTTAGAGGATTTCCTGAAATTAATTTAAGTTTAAATCTGACTGCTAGGAATGTTTCTGCTATAGTTAGATCTGGATAAAAACAGTTGATCTATTAGCAATATTTGAATATTTTTTTAATTTTTAATTTTTGTCATTTGTGTCTATTATGAAATTGGTCTTAAATTTAATTTCACTTGGCATTAAAAGGTCTTAAAAAGTCTTGAATTTAACTTGGCTTAAACTGCAGGAACACTGTGTTTACACTTAGGGACAAACGAAGCATTTAGTTGAATCCTGATGTCTTAAAAAGTTGTAAAGTTCACATGCAGACCAAACTTTTGCTGCAGAAAGTTTTTGGCCCAGATTACAACCCTTGTGACAAAAAAACTGCTAAAAGTGCATTTTTCTACGTTCAGTTTAAAAAGCATCAGGTTCATGTTGTTGCTTTTTGATGAGAGGCTGAAGGATCCACTTCAGAGAYGCTGAAGAGCCACGTGTGGCTTCAGAACCGCAGGTTTCAGACCCCTGCTCCAACTAATGAAGGCTATTAAAAATATAGAGCTGACCTCGTGGACCAGCTGCATTCTTGTCCCCGGCCGTTCCAGGTCCACATGAAGCTGCTCAGACATTAAAGAGACGGAGCGCCTCCTCTCGTCATCTCTCACTGACTGCYGAGGTCAAGAATTTGAAGTGGAAGGCTGCGCAGGGTGGGTGCTCTGCGCAAAGGAAAGACTGCTTCCTCTCCCCCCACCCCTATTGTTTATGAACGCCTCCGTCATGAGGTCATCCGTAGGAGTCAGAAGAACGGGGACCGTTTTAAAATGAAATCTGAATGTTCTGTGCTCTGAGGCAGGAAGTTGAAAGTAAAACCCTTCATCCTGTCTGAGAAGAGGTTTGTTGGACGCGTCTTTGGAAATGTGTTGTCTTTGACTGACCTGATGGTCCGAGCTCCACCCAGAGACAWTAAATAAGAAGGAACGACACGACAGCTCATTCTGAGGAGAAACCCAGTCAGCTCATAACTCCTCCTCCTTTACGTTAGCACGAGACAAATATCTATCAGCATTTGGTGTAACTGAGTCCCAGTTTCCAATAAAAGTCCAAATGTTTTATTTCTATTTTTTTCTGTCTTAAAAAGGCAAGAAATCCTTGAAAAAATTGTGCGTTTTTTTCCAAAGAATCTCTCAGAACTTTTGGAAAACATTCGTATTTAATATATAAACACAGAATTGTTCAATATAATTTCACTCAGTTCATTTCACTTTAATTATATAGCTGCAAGTCACAACAAATGTTGTCTCAGGGCTCTGTACGCACAAAACAATCAATCTAAAGAAGCAGCAGATTGTGCTGAATCACTTCATCACAGTCTCCATCCTGAGCAGCACATTGGTGTCAGTGGAGAGGAAAAACTTCCTTTAACATGTAGAAACCTCCAGCAGAACCAGAACCAGAAATAGGACCAGCTGGGTTTGGAGGACAGGAAGGAGACAGACAAACACAGGACTGGTCCAGGACTGGTCCAATGTATTTTCCTCTGGAAGAGAGACAAAGAAAACACATTATTGATAAAAGTAATTAAACATGTAGAGAAGAGAGACTAAAGACAACAGCAGAGTGAGGAAATGTTCTCAGTTTGTGCT